GCTGATCCCTAATCCAGATGCCAATTTGAGATTGTAAAGCGATCAAGTTCACGGATGAGATTTAGTCATCACTCCATGTTACTCTATGCTCTGATTCCTCATTCCAGAATATAATTATTTCTAAATCCCCCTGCTCCCAAAAATAAACTCACCAACATTGTGAACCTTTTACAGTGGTACCTTTTTAACTGGTTTCTTGCTTTATGTCTTTCTGCCAACCCCCTCTACTGCTTATCCTCCATATTATCATAAATAATATGTGCAGCAGCAGTTTGGAGCTTTGTCGACGCAAAGCTGGGAACAAAGGTTGTTACAAAGGCTGTCTGAAGCAGCACTGTTATCTTCTGTTGTCTAATGTGGCTAATTAAGGGCAGCGCTGGGAGGAAGGTGCTACTATTCCTGTCTGACTCAAGGGTATGCTGTCTCCCCAAGTCTGCCATGCTGACAAGGGCTTTTACAAAAACACATATAAGTATGAAAGGCATACACACGCACACAGAAGTCCTTCCACTTCATTTCCATAACAGCTATCTACAGCTACACATGGCAGTCCTAGGCTTTATTAAATAAACTTCCCAATAAAAGCAGATAAAACAGAGTTCTGCTGACTGGTGTTACACTAATGCAGAACTTTTCAGTTGGATCATCATCATTTAATAGCAGAACCGATAAGCTTACAGCTGATTACAATAGAACAGGACGGTGTGTGGCCTTCTCAACAAGCGGAGGCTGGCTGGGTTGGCACAAGCAAGAGTCGAGGAAGGTTTCTCACTGTGAATTTTCTCACAAATCAAAGGTATGTGTATAAAAAAAACATCTATTTTTCGACTTAGACAAACTTTAGTGTCATTTTGTATACACAGGGTGTGTACAAAACCGAAATTCCGTTCAGTACTGCTCTCAAGACATTTTCATTTCTTAAAGTGGAGCAGAGATAAAATGTAAACATGGTGATCAAATGTAAACATAAGATTAAGATATGATTTACAGTTTTCCGACATTCAGCTTTTTAAATTTTTTAATTTAGCATTCAGCAGTCTGATGGCAATAGGGAAGAAGCTGTTTCGGATTCTGCTGGACCTGCATTGAATGCTGCGAAGCCTCTTCCCAGAGGGCAGCAGGGAGAACAGTCCATGGTGGCGGTGTGAGGGGTCATTGATAATGTTACGGCTCGGGATCAGCAGCGCTGGGATGAAATTTCCTTTATGGAGGGAAGAGGAGCCCCAATGATCCTTACTGCTGTTCTCACCACTCTTCTCATGTTCTTCCAGTCTGAGGCGCTGCAGCCTCCACACCACACAGTGACACAGCTGGCCAGAACGCTCTCTATGGTGCTGCTGTAGAAGGTGGTGAGGATGGGTTGGGGGCAGGTGTGCCCTTTTGACCAGTGAGGTGGTGTTTACAGTCCAGGAAAGGGTGTCTGTGATGTTCAACACCAGGAATTTGGTGCTGTTAACCACCTCTACAGCTGAGCTGTTGATGAGCAGTGTAGCGTGGTTGGACCGGTTCTTCCTGGAGTCAACTATGATCTCCTTCGCCTTCTCCACGTTCAGGATCAGGCTGTGATATCTGCACCAGTCCACCAGCTGCTCCACCTCCTCTCTGTAGTCCCGGTTGGTGTTGTCTCTGATGAGGCTCACCACCGTGGTTTCATCTGCGAACTTCACGATGTGTATATTGGTGAACAGCAGGGGGCTCAGGACGCAGCCCTGAGGGGAGCCTGTGCTTAGACTGATGACATCAGAGGTGTTCTGTCCGAACCGGACTGACTGAGGTCTGTCTGTGAGGAAGCCTAACAGCCAGTTGAAGAGGGGTGTATTGAAGCCCAGCTGTTTAGGTTTACCCATCAGATGCTGTGAGATGATGGTGTTGAAAGCTGAACTGAAGTCCAGGAACAGCATCCGCACATGGGTGTTCTTCTTTTCCAGCTGTGCCAGGCTCAGGTGGAGAGCGGCAGAGGTGGTGTCCTCAGTGCAGAGGTTCTATTGGTAGGAGGACTGGAACGGGTCGAATGTTGGGGGGAGAGTGGAGACGATGTGTTCTTTAACCATTCTTTCAAAGAACTTCATCAGGATTGGAGTCAGTGCAACAGGCCAGTAATCATTGAGTGAGGTGACCTGAGGCTTCTTTGTGACTGGAATGATGGTGTCAGACTTGAAGCATGCTGGCACTATGGATAGGTCCAGCAAGGTATTGATAATGTCTGTGAGGACACCAGCCAGCTAACCTGCATACTTCTTGTACACCCGCCCAGGTATATTATTGGGGCCTATCTTGGATTGACTCTCCTCAGAGTTTTCCTCATTTCACCTATGTCAAGGTTGAGTGCCTCCTCCCCCTGGTGTGGAACGCCTTTCACTGTTGGAGTGCTGTTTAGTGTCTCAAACCTTCCAAAGACATTGTTTAGTTAATTTATGAAGTCAGTTTTTGCTGCATCTACCTGGGGGGAGGGTGTATTGTAGTCTGTGATTGCCCGCATGCCTTGACACATCCTCCTGGTGTTGCTGGCATCGTGGAAAAGATCCTGGATTTTCTGGCTGTGATTCTGCTTCACTGATCTGATGGCACGGTTTAAGTTGGCACGCGCTGTTCTCAGTGCCTCTTTATCACCAGACTTGAAAGCTGAGTTTCCTGCTTTTTAGCGATTTTCTAACCGTTGCTTGCTCAGGTCATGTTCTATTTGATGCTGACGTCCTCAATGCATTTGTTGATGTAGGCTGGTACAGTCATAGCATATTCGTCTACTATTAATATGTTGTTATAGGTTGCTGTAGCCTTGAAGATATTCCAGTCCAAGCATTCAAAACAGTCTTGAGGTTTCTGCATGGCACCCTCAGACCACACACGGAACTCTTTAACTGTCAGTTTAGCCCTGATTAGCTGGGGCTTGTATGCAGGGATTAGCATGACAAAGGGGTTATCTGGTGACCAGAAGTGGGGGTGGGGGAGCTGCTCAGAATGCATCTTTGATATTAGAGTTAACCAGGTCTAAAGTGTTTTCACCCCGAGTTGCAAAGTCCACATGTTGCTAAAAATGAGGGAGCTCAATATTCAAGTTAGCCTGGTTAAAATCCCCGGCAATGGTGAAAACACCCTCTGTGTGTGCAGATTGAAGCTAAGAGATCCTGATATAGAATCTTCATGGCCTGTTTTGTATTAGCGCTGGGGGGCACATAAACAGCAGCAATGCTAAGCACACTAAACTCCCTAGGCAGATAGAAATGTCTGTAATTAACAGTCAGAAACTCAATGTCTGGAGAGCAGAACCTGGTGACAGATCTAGCATTTGTTTACCAGCATGTTTTACCTCCATCAGTCTAGAAACTCTCTCACTATTATCTACTGCTTCTTTCCATTCCACTAATCTGATAGCATCAGATAAGCAGCACTTGAACTTGGAAATAATGAAGAAGTTGGAAAGATATACGCAGGTTTGCACAAAGACATAACACGGTATGCATGTAGAGAAATGAAATAACTTCCTAAGCTGACCTACTCTGACATGACCTTCTATTTATGGAGGTTCTGGTCAGAAGCTTTTGTACTCTCAGGGGCAAAAACGTTATATTGATTTCAGGCTTTATTGCTGCTCTTTAACTAATACTTCATTCATTTATAAGCTATTTGCAAATATAAAAATGTGGATAAATGCTTACACTTGCCACCATTTCTAGCTGGATATTTAACAAATCTTTGAAATAGAAATGGTAACTGATTGTGCTGCTATTTTTTTTCCCGGCTGATTATTTAGGCTGATACTGCTTGATCTTCCTCCATTTACATGATCAAAATGATAAGAGATGTGAAACAAGTGTCAATAAAAAAAAAGAAATGTTCATTCTATGTAAGAAATGTTCAACTCTAAGTAAACATCAACAATGGATAGCAAATGGAGGGAGCAGTAATGCACTGCAACGAATTCTAAGGAATGGCTGCTGAATGTCCTAATAATTAGGTATGTATAGACATATCAGCTGAGAGAAAGAATAATATCGGCCAGTCAATGTATCAGACACATGAAAGCTAGAATTTAATTTTTATCTGCAGACAGGCAGGTTTTATATTCATACCAGGCTGAATCATTTTCAGGAGTCATGGTTTCAAACCCAAGAACAAAGTAAAAAATGTCAAACATCATCTTAAAGAGTGTTTTGTTTGTATATTTCAAAATATATATAGCATGAGGAGGGACTAACTCCTTATTCTCTAATGTTTCCTCTGTTTTTGCTGCCAGTAGCACAGATGGAAGAACATAAGAATGTTCCAACAGAACAATGATCCAAAAACACATCAAATCTGGTTTTGGAGTGGATTATTCAGGCTATCTCAAATTCCCTCCATTGAAATATGATGGTGTTTGGGTACTTTGGGTGCTGGATGACAAGGCTTATATGATCGGACCCGCAAATCTGCCCTCTTACAGAAAATCCTGATGGAAAAAATCAGTTTGTAACCAACAACTCAATGTAACTTTTTTTGCAGCAGGAAAATTATCTGAAACACACCAGTAACTCGACTGAAGTTGGAAGAAACACTATCAACAATACTACGGTTTTGTATGATATAAAGAAACACTTGCCTGTCGACAAAATGAAAGTTGGAGGAAGGACCTTAAAGAGGAAATTTAGGCTTAAAACCCCTCTCGTGGATTAACTGAATTCCACAAGAAGAAGTCAACCAGAGCAACAATGTAAAATACAGATTACAGTTTATCAAAAACGGTTCACAATTTTGCCTCCAGGCAATGCTCAACCAGGTATTGTCTTGTGGGTAATGATTTGCTGAGCAAGGATCAGGTTTCAAATGATCCTTGTCTGATATTGAAACATGATGATCTGAAACATTTAAATCTGATAAAAAAGAGAAAACCACTTTAAGCAGGCGAACACATCTTCAGGTCATTATATAATGATGGCCTAATGTGAAATAGAAAAAATCCTGAAAAAAAATGGTAAGCCTTTTTTTGTTTTTAAAGATAATTAAATTTTAACTTCTTGTACCTGAAAGAAGAACACCAAAAGCAATTCATCACAAGCCTGAAGTGGCTGCAAGATTCATGCGTAGGTTGTGGTGTGTTCAAACCTCCGACTGCTTCTGTGCTTAGGTGTCAGTGCCTGAAATTGGATAATTTGTTGGAGAGACGATGAAAGAGGCTGGTGTCCTTGTTTCATCAAGATAGATGAATTAATCAGAGGCCCCTCGAACAAACAACTTCCTGACTTTGAGTCTTGTTAGGAGCGCTCCTGAGAGACAGAGATTAACTGATTTGGGTCATCTTTTTGTTTATTCCCCGATCCTTTTCTAATTCAGGCAGAATTCTCTGCCCATTTATTAAAGCACCAACAAACACATGAATAAAATGTATGTACAAAGATATACTTACGGCTCTGCCTCACACATGCATTTGCTCTTCCTCCTTTCTGCCAAACACATTCACACATGCACACGAACTCACCTCCATGATGTTGCCGTTTCACATCTCGCTGTGATGTCCTGCTCGCCTTTCTCTTTATCGACTTTGTTTTCGGTCTTCAGACCCCTCCTCTCTCTTTGCTTGAATAATCCGAAGTTCAGCTGAAGTAGAAAGCACTAGGATTTTTTTATCCAACAATGTTTAAATTGAGACCTAATAGGGGGGGTCAAACAGTGGTGGTGGTTGATTTACGAAGGATTGTTTTATGGGGCTTAAGGGAAGGTGTGTATGGAGGCACACAAGGTGGGGGAGTGTGTGCTGTCGGGGGGAAACTGTGGCTGACTGAAAGACCCCCGTTTTCCAACATTAGTGCATGAGGGAGTGTGTGAGAGGAAGGAGGAGAAGGGGAGGAAGAGCAGCAATGCACCGGGCTTAGCCTTAAGTCACTCAGCTCGGCCTGTAAGTCCAGTTCTGCATCGTCCACATCGTACTGGAGATCACAGTCTGGGCAGTAACCATGATACTGGACCTTCTCGCTGAAACGAACCCGCTCTCTCTCGCGGTGTTCTCTTCCTGGGGCCTTGGGGCATTTGTTTTTCTCATGCCGGAGAAGCGGCATTGGCCTTGGCAGCGTAGGAACCAGACCAGTTTCTTGCATCTCGCTCTCGCCAGAAATGAAGCAGGGAGTAGAGGAGAATAAATCCTTGTTTGGTTTTAATGGGAAAACCCCGCCGTTCCTCAGCGAAGACCCGTTAGCCTTTGACATATTCCCTGATAAGACCAAAGTCGGATGAGGCAGATTCTTTATGTTGTGTTCCTCAGCTCTCAGTGTGGTATGCCTCGGCGGTGGCAGGGGAGGGTGGGATTTCTTGAGCACTGTCAGAACTGCCGGTTGATGGAGCTGTACCGGACTCATGGGCACCTGTGTTTTGAAGATGCAGTCCTCTGGGAACAGCTTCATTTTCTCCAGGCTGGACGCAGTTGTTGTGGTAGTGGTGGAGCTGGAGCTGGAGTTAAGCGTGTCGGTCTTGGAGCTATCGGTCAGTCCGTCCTCCTCCAACTGCAAGTCACCGGTCAGGGTGTCAATGTCATGGACAACCTGGTGACAACGAGAAAATTAATGTCAGTTGGAGATCTGCTGTCATGGTTGCTGAGCTTGCAAAACTATTGCTCGAATTGAAGCAATGTGACAAAAAAATGAAATAAACATCTTTAAAGTGTGTTGTACATTTATTTCCAGGTTCCTTAAGGTGACTATTATACAGAACTATAACATTTGCAGGTTTATTTGACATGTCTCTACAGGTTTTGCACATCCAGACTTCAATATGTGGGCAGAAAAGAATGTTAGAGTGTTTGACTCACCAGCTTTGTTACAGATATTCAACGTTGGAATACATCAGTCTCAGAAATAATGTATCCAAACAGCTGTTTGGGATATTGCACTAAGCTAACAGACTTAGGGCAATGTGAATCTGTAATATTTATGACACTACAGTTTTACAGAAATAAAGCATTATTTTGGTAAAGTTACGGTAATTTCAAAGGAGCTTTTAGATAAAAGAATGGAATACAATAGAAGACATGAAGAATGGAGGATGATGTCTCTCTCAGGTATGCTCTCTGTTAATTACTTTTACAAACAATTAATCTCCTTTAGAGAGTGTTTATACTTTTTTTTGTTCTCGGGTGTGACCTCTTTTCTTAAAAAATCGTTACAAATTCCTATATATATCAAAAATAATCTCATACCCTCCACCTCCTACTTGTAGTTTTCCTTCTTTTCTCAACAGTTACGTATTCCCTCACCAAACTGCCTTAAGTGGAGGAGTTCAAGTATCTTGGGGTCCTGTTCAAGAGTGAAGGGAGAATGGAGCGAGAGATCGATAGACAAATTTCGGCGGCTACTGTATAATGCAGACGCTGCACTGGTCTGTCTTGGTAAAGAGAGAGCTGAGTGAAAAGCAAATCTCATGAATTACCAGTTGGTCGACTTTCCTACCTTTAACTATGATCATGAAATTTGAATCATGTCTGAAAGAACAAGATCTCAGATACAAGGGGCTGAAATTAACTTTTTCCGCAGGGTGGCTACGCACTCCCTTGGAGTCAGGCTTAGGAGGCAGTCAAGAAAGGCTTGGAGTAGAGCCACTTCTCCTCCACATCAAGGGGAGTCAGCTGAGGTAACTCAGACATCTTTTTCGGATGCCCCCTGGACGCCTCCCTCGGGACGTGTTCCAGACATATACCACCAGGGGGACAAGAAGGTACAAGCTGGAGGGACTATGTCTCTCGGCTAGCCTGGGGCTTCCCCCAGCAAAGCTGGAGGTGGTGTCTGGGGAGAGGGAAATCTGGGAGTCTATGGTGAGACTGCCCCCATGACCCGGTCCAGGATAAAGAGTAGGATGATGAGTATGAGTATAGGGAACCAAATTTCAAATTCTGGTTGCATCAGAAAACATCTGGTGTAGGAAAATTCTGCCAAGTCTTTAAGCAAGTTGTACTGACTTGAATAAGGGAGCAACTGAAAGGACTCCGAAATACTTGGCCCTAAACGGACAAGGACAGGCATTGCTCAGAGAGGCAGCCAAGAAGCTCATGGGTAACTTGAAGAAAGAAATCAACACTACACTCAAAGCAGCACCTGCCTTTTATGAAAGAATGACAGGTTAAAAAGAAATTCATGATCTGGTTATATTAGACCCAAAATCAACTTGGTGCAAAACCATTATTTTTGAAAGAAAAAAACCCCATCACACATCTTGACTTGATGGTGGTAAAGTTGGGTTGATGGGATGGTTTTTCTTTACCAGTGGGTCAGAGTCAATTAAAGGATGTATTAAACTAAATAAAGCGAAATGTTGGCTTGAAGGCTCCCCTTTTATCTGGATAACTGTAAACCCACACCCAGAGTTGTAACAGAACAGCTTAGCCCAGTGGTCCTCAACCCTGGACCTCAGGGCCGACTGTCCTCCATGTTTTAAGCCGTGCCTGTGCTCCAGTAGAACTGGAGCAAATGATTGTGTATTCTCCTCGCACACAGTCAAGGGCCTCAGAAGGCACTTCTACACACATTTATAGAAGTCAGAGAAAAGCCAAAAACATGGAAGACAAAAGGTCCTGATGACTTTGATGGGAAAACTCTGGATTAAAAGATATTTAGGGGTCAAAATGGCCTAATCAAAGTCTAAATCCAATTAAGAGTCTGTTCAAGACTTCAAAATTCATGTTCACAGATGGCACCTGCCAAAGTAAGACTCATCTCTGCTCAGTGGTCATGTGTATTCATGAGACAGGTTTATCCCTTCAATTTAACAATCATTTTCATGCAGGAATTATTCTTAGGTGAGGGTTAAGATGTTTAACAAAGAACAAATGATACATTCCTTAAAAATAAAATCCAGGTATAGCACTGATGATGAGAGATAAAGATACCAAAGTCCCAAAAAGAGCGAGAATTTGAGTTATGACTTCTCTTTACTCTGTAAACCAACTGCAAACACACAGAAGATATTCACATATGAAAATCTAACTTCTCCTATTGTTACTTCAATAATTAACAGCAAAAATTCCAATGCAAAAAAGGAGACACAAGAGTCATAATTTATATAAGAAGATAGGTCAGGAGGAAAAGAAGGCATGGACAAAAATATGAAAAATCAATATACTGGCAGTCTGTTGCAAAGTACGCAAGTGAAGAACTGCTTAAGCAACAGAATTAATCTGTTATCTCTAAACGTTATATAATTCATGAATACAGAACTCTGTGGAAAACAATTAGAAGGAAGGGCAATAGAAGGAAATGAGAAAAAACTGTTGTTGCTAAAAAATGCAGCAGAAATTTGTATCAGATTTCATCAGAATTAAAGAGGAAACATATGATACTGAAGAAAAAGTGCTTTTATCTGGGCTCATAACTAGCATGCAAAGAAATATTTATTAATTTTGGAACAGATATGACCTATGTTTAGAGTAAGTAATGGGAATCCTATGAAATTAAAGACGAGAAAACATGGTATTATTTGAATCAATCTCTGTCTCTCTTTACAAAACATAAAGACTGATAGAAACATTGGACACATGATGAATAATCAGTTTATATGAAACCAATCTAAGGGGTTTCATTCATGCATGTAGTGCCCATGCTGCCGCATGGTTTAAAATTACATTTACATTAGCCATTTGTAAAATTTATGGCAAAAACGTGTAAATCCACCCCTAAAGTAAATTATCTTGCATTGGAAGAATTTGTACCCCTCCTCTCGCCCGTAGACAGCTGGAGATAGGCACCAGCACCCATCGCAACCTTAGCTGGGATAAAGCGTGACAGAAAATGGATGGCTGGAAGAATTAGGAAAATCCACCCCTTAATTCAGAATCTCTTGAATCTTGTTAAATTGTGCATAAACTATATGAAACACCTAGACATCTTAAAGGTACACTATGCAACCGGTGTTGATTTTCCAGCGAGGCTCCCCCCAGAGGGCGAAAGTAAAAGTGTACTGTCGTAAATATGCACAGCTGTTCTCCTGGTTTCTCCGTCAAGCCAGGCGCGGTTGTTTTGAGCTTAGCAGACAGGCGAACGCAACGAATGACTAAGCATCTGACGCGCGTGACGCGCCGCAAACGCGTTGCTGCTCGACGCGCCGCGTCAACCA